TTCAGCACCGTCGGAAGGGGCCTTGCACCAGTGCATGAATTCAATGTTCAAATCGACTGGAGCGAGGAGCGGAGAACATATTTCAGGGTCAAACTAATCTAATCAGAACATCTTGAAAAGCTAGCAAAGAGGAAGCCACAAAAGTAAAAGTCATATTCAAAAATCATTATTTGTTTACTAGTGAGTTACATATACACAACACTCCAGTTCTTGCCTTACTATATCCAGAGAAAGTGAATAACCATACCGACCCATTGACTGTAAATGCACCAGCATTTATTTATATAAATCAACAAAGCTACTCACTACTAATAGGAATCATGCCATTTCTTCCTCTTCCCTTCCACGCTCCAAGCATTCTTCTGTTTAAGTTACAGATCCCATCCACATTTATAGTGAGTGGGTTTAGCTCTCCTAGATGTTAAAAAGCCATTTGCTTCCTTTTTTTTCCTGTTTGTTTCTTGCTATCTTAGAAACCTAAATGGACTCCCTGATAGATCAGAGGGTTATCTAAACTCAGAGCATGTGGGGAAAAGCGCACCCAGAAAGAGGGAGGGATGAGGACTGAAACAACGCCCTTCAACAGCAGAGAGCTGTTAGTTCTACTCAACACATTTCATTTAGCTAGCTATGTCCTTCATATGAAGTATAAATTAATATGGTACATAACATTTGTCTCTGAAGAATGACCTAGGAACCTGTTCAAATGTGGTTTTCATTTCTTGGATAATTTCACTGCTAGCATACTGACAAGTACTAGTGCAGCTTCTATGCATTAATATTTTCCATAATCAAACCAACACCACAGGAATAATTGTTGCTTTGTAGGAAATTATCTTTACAACTGATGCAATGACCAAAACCATAATAATTACTATGAGACACTCCATAAAGTTATTTCAACAGGACACTTAGGTAGACAACAGAAAACACAACTATAAGTGATACCTAGCATTTTCCTTGAGGTCTCAGTCAAGAAAGATTATCATTAAATCGGAGCAGTAAAATGTGAATCAGTTACACCTCCACGACACTTCTCTAGCTTACTATTTACATTCAAAGTTTTGGTCATTATGTTTTTTGTAGTCTATGTATTCACAAAAAGTGATAATAATCAATGGAAGATTGGATAAATGTTTCATCACAGGGCCTGCTGATTGTTAATTGCTAACTAGAAACACACGGCAATTATCCTTTAAATTGTAATTGCTCTCATGTGATGCTCACTTATGGCATTACAATCACTCCGTCAAAGTCCTTTGAATGGGGACTTTGCCTCAAGCCATGTTCTATATCTCAGGTAAATCATCATAATAACACTCAACACGTGAATATTAGCATTTGAAATATATAATTCACTTCAAGCATATATTTCCTTCTGTTCATCACCTTCACAGCAACTAACATTCCTCCTAGTTTTGTTGAGCTCCTTGTTTGTTTAGTTCTAACAGTGCAGGGATTAATGGTCTGGGGAAAATAAAGTTTGTTATGAATTAGGACCCCCACCAAAAAACACAAACTACTTAAATTTAAATATCAAGTGAAGGAAACATAACAGAAAGATCTTATGGGGGGGGGGGGGGGGGGGGGGGAAGAGAAAACACACACCACTGAACCACATATTAAATAATACTAAAAGTCTTAAAAACAAAACAGTTATTGAACTTATAACATAGGAGAACTCTATGAATTTTTTATAGCATAGTCACATGCCAACACAGGCATGTCATCCACTTCTGTTTGCAATAAATGGGCCAGTATTTAAAACATGGGCAGCCACCACAGCCACTTTCATTTTATGTCTGCAAATGGTTTTCTGCTGACAGTTATACCAACACAAAAATGTTGTCAGAAATACATTTTGTTTTACCTACGAAGCAGCAAAAGTCCTTCCTGGTATGTCCAACTTATAAATTAAAACTACTATCATTGGTTTTAAACTGATTGCATTAAATGCAAAAATATCCTCAGCAGCAAAAATTCTTGGAGCAATTATGACAAATCTATGAAAGTTTTTATCACCAACAGATAAAGCAAAGGAGATTCCCCCTTCCTTTAAAAAGATGCTTGATTTTTAAAGAGAGATGAGCAATAGGGAAATCCCTACTCCTAACATCCTAAATAAAATTTCAAAACCAAACTACTTCAGAGGATGTAAAGAGAAATTCTAGAAAGACTTTCTCAGGTGATTCAGTGACATGGAAAAACTAGGGAGAAAGCCTCACCACCCTAACCATAGCATGAACCTGAAAGACTGCTCTACTACAAAAATATATTATCTTCCTGTGTTTGAAGCTAAGGCTTTTCTCCTAAAAGCTATAGGCCAAATTATTTTGAACTAGACAGATAATAAATCCTTCAGTCATTGATCATGTTAAAACAGACAAGGAAACAAACAAAACACCCACAAACAAACCCACAAGTTTCATTAACACTGAAATACAAATTTAAAAACTGACATCATAGTGGCAATCCTTTGTTGCTTAAAAACATTTGCTCATCTATTAAAATAAGCACAATAATAATTAACAACTAGAAACAATAATATAATAAAGGAATGATGTCTTACTGATCCTTCTGATTATATGTTACCTGCAACACTAAATATGTTGCAATGATTCACTTCAGAAGTTGTCTATGACTTTAACATTTTTCTAGACCAAACTTTACTCTTTCCAGGACTTACCTGCAGATTTGTAGGAATAGGAACCAAGCTAACTAAAAATATGGTCCATTTCAGACAAATGATCCTGAACACTTAATTATTTCCCAGTAATTTTTCCATAATATTACACTAAGCATTCAAGACTATACCCCTTGATTGTCATCAAAGCAGACTACTTAGCAACATTCTCTGTCCTGGTTTGGTTTTCTTTTTTTTTTTTTTTTTTTTTTTGTTTTGTTTTGTTTGTGTTTGTTTTTGTTTTTTTCAGTTCATTGGTTGGCGGTATTTTAAGATTGACTTTGTCTGGTAAATGCAGAAAAAGAATCTGCAGATTTCTCTGTTGTTTGGGGGTTTGGGTTTTTTTGAAGGGTTTTTGGTGGTTTGTTTTTGGTTTGGTTTTTTTTTTTTTTTCACTAAAAAGAAAATCTGTAACTTCTAACTTGCATCTTAATGGGTTTTAAATGCTCTAGATTGCTGTGAGTGGAATTAGAGGCACATAAAGACAATGCAACTGCCATCCCTGTTAGTTTATTCAGATAAGCTTTTCATTAAAATATAAGTGTCAGCTATGCAAAGTAGTTACTTCGAAGCTTATGTTGTCACCTCCTAGAAGTTGCCTGCTGATAAAAAAGAAAACCAAACCACCCACTTGGTCACTCAAGACAATTTTTCTCATTATTACAGGGAGAACAGAAGGTTTTATAACTGAAGATGTATGTATGAAGAATATTCAAAGTCAGCATCTACATTTTTCTTACTTAAATCGTGCTTCAGCACACTTAAAAGAACATGGAAATCCCATTACATTTTATGGCAGAAAATATTATTCCTGCCTGAGAAATATAGAAAACCTTAGAGAAAAAAATAGCTAGAAGGGTAGCATTATCTGGCTTTTGTCATCTCACTACAAATACATCACTGTTCATACAGAGTGACACGAAGTTCTTTGAAGTCTAAGAATTAACATGTTGTCTCAAGCATGTTCAGCTCTGCGTGAAAACTAGTTCATTATCTCTGTATAAACTCAAGCAGTAGTGACTGTTTACTGAAACAACCTGTAAATGTGTTAGCCTGTGTTTGCAGAGGATAAGGACTGTGCCATCCCAGGCCCACTTCAGACCGTAAAAGTGGTTATTTTCTCACCCTTATCTGAATCATCCTTGAACAGACTGCCTCTGAACAGAGTTTACACTCCTCTTCTTTGATCTACTTTATAAGAACATCAGAACTGTTTACTTTGAAATGCACCCAGTTCTTTCTTGAGGTGCAGGGAAAGGAAATCATGTTTTAAGATCATGTTTTAAGACATGAGCAGATAAATTCAAGCCAACTAGTCATTTTCTCAGTGTTTCTTGTCTTGTCCAATATCCTGAAACATAACTTCTCACTGTTTAGTCTGATTCTTAAATAAATTCATAAGAATTAACTCATTCTGTTACCTATTAGATAATCCAAAACTTCCCACCCTACTTTCTACAAACGACATAACAAATTGCCATGCTAACGCCACTGTGATCTAGTTTCAAACCTTCCCTCCCTGAAGACTTCTTTAAATCTCTGATACTACATAAACTGAAGCCAACACCTGTACCTCACACTTCAGAGGAAGATCAGAATCCTAACTGCAGCACTCTGCCTCACAGACAGCAGTGAAAAGTATTTAACCCAGCATTTCTAAAGAACTCCTAGTTCAAACAATATCTACCCACCCTGACTTGACAAAGAGCAGCATGTCGCTCACAGGCGTGTTGAGAAGATACTCGTATCAGTGTTTCTCCATCATTGTTCCGTATTTGTTCCTACCTCGCGTCACTCTCCTTTGCTGGTAGAAAGACAACAGGATCCTTCCAAATCTTGCATCAAATAGGCAAGAGGGTAACCAAATTTGGGTTTAAATCGAATAAAGGAAGCCTCTCTATATCCTCCTTTTATACCAGTCCCTTCTGAATCCTTATCCTTCATACCCGAAGATAAAGATTGAAAATCACGGCGTGGTTGAGGAGTCGAGGCCATGCTTGGGCAGCATAAAAAGCACGGGCCGTAATGAAATTATCGGCAGCTACGTGGTCAGGAGACGACTCGGAGCTGAACTTGGCGCCAGGTCAGGTAGCCTTGGGTTCTGCTAACTACCGCGTTCAGAGATTAGGCGGATGTAACAATCACCTGAAAGGGGAGATTAAAGCGCTTCTCAATGGGGTCCTTTGTTCTCGGCCTCATTTGATGCTTTGCGGCCTTTTCAAACCACGTCGCGGAAGGCGCTTTAAATGTTTGTCCCCGAAGCCGGGGCGGCTTCAGTGAGCGGGGAGCGCCGGCAGCAGCGGCGGAGCGGGGAGCAATGGAGAAGGGGCCCTTCTCGGTAGAGTGGCTGGCCCAGAGCAGCCGTGGCCGAACCCGGCCCGTGGCCGCAGCCCGCCTGCCCCGCTCCCCGCCCGGAGGCACCGGCGGCCGGGAGAGCCCGGGTGCCCGCGGTGAGTCCCGCCTCCCTCCGCGGGCGGGCGGCGCGGCGGGGCCGTTGGCGGAGGCCGTTAGGCTAACGGTGCCCGCACGTGAGGCGGCTGTCGGGGGACAGCGGCCGCACGTGCGGCCGCTGCCGACGTCACCGCCCGCGCGGCCCGACGCCCGCGGCGGGAAGGTCTCCGTGTCCGCGTGTCCCCCTGACGCCCCCCATCCCATCCCCGCAGCCGCGCTCCGGCACCGCGAGGCCGCGGGCCGCTGCAGCCCCGGGCGCGAAGCGGAGGCGGGCGGCGGCGCTGCGCCCGGACGGCCCCGCACCAAGTTCTCGGCCGCGCAGCTGCAGGAGCTGGAGCGGAGCTTCCGCGAGCAGCGCTACATCGGCGCCAGCGAGAAGCGGCGCCTGGCCGCCCTGCTGAACCTCTCCCAGAGCCAGGTGAGCTCGGCCGCGGCCCTCGCACCCCTGCTGAAATCCGCGGGAGGGGAGAGGCGCCCTCGGCCCGGGTTTGCGCGGGAAGGGCACCTCACGGTTCACCGTCACCGCGGGGACGGGGACAGTGCAGGCTCCCGCAGGCGCGGTGGGTCAGATCGCCTGTCAGCCCCTGCTCTCCCTCTGGCAGAGAACGACCCGAATAGCCCCTGCTCTGGCTGGCACAGCTCTGCTGCCCGCCTCGGGTTTTGCGTTAAACCGGAGGCAATCCGCAAACGGAAAACGGTGAATACAAATTTAAAAGGTGAAACCTCATCGGAGGCAAAATACTTGCACAATCACCACAGTTTAAATTTTCAGGCTAATTCTTCCTTAAAATTGTGTATCTACCTGGCAGTATTGCAGGATTTCTCTGGGAACAGAACTAGCCCTTTTAATCCCACTGCACCAGTCCTGGTCCGAATCTGATCTCCAAGGAATTGGTTTGCAGTGCATCATGAAGTTGAATTCCTCCTCATGCTGATACAATTACTCTGCGCTGAATATACATCAATACTAATAACCCTAAATATTACAAGTATCAACATACTCTGTTACTCTAACAATAAGTCTGACTTTAGAATGTGTTACTATATGGAAAAGGGACAAGAGGGTGGGTTCTTGACTTTTTTTTTAATTTTTCTCTCTCTCAGATAAAAACCTGGTTTCAGAATCGTCGTATGAAGTTTAAACGTCAGAGTCAAGATGCCAGAGTGGAAGCTCTTTTCTCAGGCTTATTTTTGCCCTGTCATTGTTATCCAGATATCGCTACATCCAGCTATTCTCATGGGATGGATGTCAACATCTCATCTACCTCTACTGTTTCCCTTCACACAGCTATGCCAAGCCCGGCCTTGTTGTTACCTTCTGTTCCAGCTCAGCCCCTTCAGCCAGTTTTGCCAAGTCCAGCTTTACTGTTGCCTCCCAGCCCAGGATTATCTTGCTACTCTCCTGTAATTCCAGCAGTGACTTTAACCGATGACCATAAAAGACTGAGGTTCCAGCCATATCTTCCTTCCTGTTAAAAATGCCAAAGATGACCTGTAATCTAAATAACAACTGCCAAATATCTCTAAGAGTAATTATTTAACTTATTTTGTTATATTAAGTAGATGGCTGATTCAATTTTATTTTTTTAATCAAATTTTGGGGTTTATGATAAAGGAGAACAAAAATTTGCATGTATTAGAGAAGTAATACTAAGAGTAGAAGTGGACTACTTGAAACTTGCCTTTGTTCCTACAGTCTTCACTATGTTGTATTGAGACTTCTATAAAAATTTTCCTATCTGAAAGTTTTTCAGAAAACAACCAATAATAATGTGGGGATCTCCACTGAAAAAGTGGAGTGCTGTTTACACTTCAATTTATATAGTAATTATATAATGTAATAGACAACAGTGCTAAAAACTTCAGCCATTCTACTTGAGTGTGGGTTTTTAAGGAAAGAGTTGTAAGCTGCAGCAAGTGCATTTAAATTAAAACGGTACCAAATGTGGCAGCCCTATGAAGAAAACTGAACAAATTGCCCATTATTGTCTTTATCTGTATATTCTGCACCATTCTTTAAATAATCTCCCCTGTTTGTTGATTTAGATATTCCATTTATGCATCTAAAGAGAGGTAAGGCAAAGGAGTTAATTGGCAAGCATGTATTTTGATGCCAGCCTCAAACATAAATTAAATCTGATGAAAATGCTGGAGTTGTTCACAAGTTCAGGTCTCTGTGACACTCAAAATTAGAATGTTTAAGTTTTTACTTCTAAAGTTTCAGCTGTAACATGGTAGCCTCACTAATCTTAAAGTGCAGGATTTTGATAGGTTTGCTACCAGGCTCAGGGCTGTTCCTAAAAATCTCAAAGCTGAGCCTTTAGGAAACAATGAGAAACAAGAGATCTTGCATTAGCATAAAGCAGCTGCAGCAGCAGGTGTGATTACATCTCCTTCCCTACCCCTGACCATCCTAACCTGATTGCCAGGTGATGGTTAGGCCACTTTGCGATTGCCAAGAGAGAAATAAATAAATAAACACACAGAAACCCCCTCCATTACAATGCAGAGATTACTCATATGAAAAAAAAATGTTGACAAACAGGCCTACAGTAGCATTGTGCCATGCCTTTCTTTCCCCCCTCTCCCCTCCCATTAACAGTTATGTTGTAGGGGCTAGGAGAGCAAAGGTGAAATCAGTCTTTGGCAGGCAATAGGGATATTGAGATACAGGAGGGGACATACTTCCATCCAAATTCCTGCCTCCTGAGTCTCCTGCCTGATTATAACTTATAGTGAAAAAGAAATTCCTGAGCATTCTGTAGCAAGGGTGTCTTCAAACCTGCTCTCAAGCACTCCTACCTTTCCTACGGAGGGGGAGGGTGGGAGATACTTGAAGGAATTTCTACCTCTCCCAACACACCCCAGTGCCACACCACAACAGCACTGCTCCGAGGAGCAGCTAGGCAGCCAGTCAGCCTGTAATTCCACAACTTGCTTCTCCCAATGACCAGCAAATTTGCTTCCAACATGTCAAACTGGATCCTCTTGGTGTTAAGACTGCATCTGGTTTGGAACAGCACAATTGGAGGAAATTCCCTTTACCCCTTCCAAGCCATCCTTTCATAAGTGAGAAGCCCCTAGGCTATTAAATCGAAACTGGGTTCACTGGATTGGAAGGTGGAGGGGGAAAAGATTTAGACTACAAAGCAGCAATTAGTTTCTAATATATATAGAAGACCTTTCAGGTGAATTAAGGAAGCCTAATTCACACTTCTTATATATTGATCTTTTAATTAGACTTTGAACAAGCTCTTTCAGGAGAGGAGTGAAAACTGGTCGCAGGAAATACTAAAATAACAACAAATTTCAGGATTGCTAAAGCAAAAACTTGAGCTACTTCCTTTAAATGTTTCTTCTAAATGGTTCAATTTACTAAAATAAAAAAAAAAAATCAAAATATTCAATTAACATGGGCATTTAGTGGTGAATCAAAGACCAAATTTGCAGGTTAAAATCCCATTTAGATGATACAGCTATGAACCAAACACGATTATGGTCTTAATTTTTTTACAAAGTATTTGTTTTGGTAATTGTAAAACTTTTAACATTTGTGTTTAACACAGCTGATGTTTTCACATGGAAGGTGGGACTGGAAATGCAAAGCAATAAGTTGATTAATATTCAGAAGAGAAACTCACCAACAGTTTATCCTTCCTCCTGGAGGATGTGCTTAGCCAAAAGCACAGTACAATGCAACTGTTGAGGTCCAGGCTCCCAAACACACTCAATAACAGACACACTCAGCATGAGCATAGGAAAGTCACATAAAATGGATTAAAACATCCCTTTAGCACAAAACCAGAGTTCAGGTGACCTTTATAGAGTTGGCACATATAACTCTGTTCAGATTTTATTTTTATGTATGTGGAAAACTGGGAATGTGCAATGAAAACCAGTTTCTTAATGTGCCCATTTCAGACTATACCTAATGACTTTGCCCTACATCATGGGAAATTTGGCAGAAAGCAAGTTTCTGCCACTGGTTTTCTCCCTCCGGTTCCCTTTCAATAGCTTCCTTTCAGTCTACTCTCTTCTGAATGAAAACAGACTACCAATATTTAAAAATTGATAGCTTATCAAACCAAAAATTACCGAGTGGCACCACATCCAATAAATTTTAATATCAATTAGTACAAATATAAAATTATTCATTTTCACATTTAACATAAAATAATAAACACATACTCTTCCTAATCAAACGATATTCTGAGCACAAAATACATTACAGCATACAACAGTTTTCCCCTTGCCTGCCCTTGTGTTTTCACTGTAATGCATATACAGGGTGGCATTGCTTGTCCATTTTGCTCTGAATCATCGGATGGAAAGAAGGATGAGGAAGAAAGTGTTGATGGTAGTACGGCAACTCATTTGCCATAAAGCGGTAGGTGCTTTGCGATGCATCGTATCTGGGAAATGAGAAGCTGAACTGCACAGCAGGCACCGGGGTAAAAGGCAGGAGTCTCTGGTGCTGAGGAGCAAAGGGGTAGTGGAAACCGTCCTGGAACAGAGCTGGTGGGCTCCCCGGGGGATAGCTGTACAGGGGAGCAGGAGACACGAGGCCGTGCTGATGGTCCTGGATCTGCCTCTTCAGTTTCATCCTCCGGTTCTGAAACCAGGTCTTGATCTGAGCAACAAAACAGAACGGGGTGGGGGGGTGGAGGAGACAAATCAGGGACTTAGCCTAAAAATAATGCTTTTGCCATTTTGCTCCACTTCAATTGACAGTTGGACTGATGTTCTCGCCCTAGGTAAGTGAGGGCAGAGGATGTGGGGGTTGTAGAGGGAAAGAGTGTCCGCGTTCAGAGATTTTAGATTAATCACTTCGACTCTTTAAGACAGTATGTAAATTTTGCAAGGTCTACACAGATCGCTGTACAGCAAGAATAAGCAGTTTACCTTAATAGTAAGGAACCCTGATACTTCCCCAGTAGAAAGTGCCCCCAAGTTCCCCGAACGTTAACGCGTTAATTAAACCCCGAGGAATCCCACTACCCTTCCCACAGCCGCTGCTAAACCCAGCTGAAGACAGCTACAGCTGTCGGTTCAGCGCGGCGGAGGCGATTCCGCCGAGCCCGGCTGCCCCGTGCCCGGCGGGGCAGGGAAGGATCCGCTTCCTCCGGGACCCACCTGGATCTCCGAGAGCTGCAAGGCAGCCGCCAGCTTCCTCCTCTCCGACGCCCCCAGGTACTTCTGACGCTGGAAGGTCTTCTCCAGCCGGCAGATCTGCTCCGAGGTGAAGGCGGTCCTCGCCCGCCGCTGCCGCCCGCGGGTCCCGCCCGCCGCCGCCGCCCGCTCCCCGCCCGCGCTCTCGCTCTCGTAGCCAGAGGACTCGTCGGCGCTCAGCCAGTCTCCTTCGGGGGCTGTAAAGGAGGAGAGAAAGGGCGGCGATGAGGCCTCTTCCCCCGGCTGGGGGGGTGCCTCCGCCTCCCTTCATCCTGCAGAGTCGTTGCACGGACTGGCGTCGAGATCCTGTATGTGTCCCCCGCCCACTCCCCTCTTCTTCGTCCCTGTCCACTCCTCACCCACCTGGCTCCGACGGGCACGGGTCAGTGGGCTCCCGGGGAATGTCTCGGCCCCGCTCTGCCGCGCAGGGCTCACTGTCCGCCGGCTGGCTCGGCTGCAGCCCCCGCCGTCGGGGCTCAGCTCTGACCAAGAGGGGGGTAGTACCGAGAGAGGTGGGGGCGCGGGGAGGGGGCGCGCAGCAGATGTGGGGCCTAAGCCCGCAGGGCTTGGTCTCTGCCAAAGGGAGTTCGACCTCGTTCATGGCGTAGAAGGGCTGGGGGACCGCCGACCTCGGCCCGCTCTTATATGGGCGCTCCGGTCCCGGACGGGCTCGTTTGCAAGTGTGAACCCACATCAAAGTGGGAATCGAGCAGAGATAACAGCTGCCAGAGAGGAGGAGAGTTCACACGTCTGGCAAATGTCTACAGCCCCTGGCTCCAGCGTGTCTGCGGGGCCGAGGAGACCCCCTTGAAGTGCAAACCTGCCCCTCTCCCCCGGAGGGCAGGGCACGGGCAGGCCCGGCCCCGCAAATGGACGTTTAAAGATACCGACGGTGCCGATAAACAGCGCGTTTTTACCCACTTCCTTTTCAGCCGTGGGGTTCTGCATTGCGCAGGTACAAGAAACCAGCCCCGCTACTGCCCGGCCCGGCCCGCACCGTCGAGGCAGGGATGAGGCAGGGACAGGGATGAAGGGTGAGGGATAACGTAACGCCGGTGGGGCCTGCCAGCCCCGCCATCGAGCACTTCACCTCGGGGGGAGCTGTGGAGATCGGACTCCCTGGGAAAAGCCGTTGGGGGGCCGCTATGAAGAAGTCCCTATCCTCGAGGCTGAGCCCTCACCCCTGGGGACCACGGCCGGGCTGTGGGGTTAGCAAGGCCGCCGGCCCTCTCAGCTTGAACTTGGCGCCGTCTGTCTAGCCAGAAAACGCAACAGATCTCCAGAAGAGTTTAGCGATCAAAGGACTAAGTGACCAGCAAAGCTTGCACCTCATCAGCTTCAAACTATCCTAATCCACACGTCGCTTCCCGAGAAAGACGATGCCCTTGTAATGCAAGGAGGACACGAAGACACACACATCCCCACACCCAGCCCCACCCCCCCCACCCCCCCCCCCCAGTAAAGTTTGCTCGAGGAAAGGCCGGATGGGGAAAGTGGCATCCCGGCAGCTCAGCCCGTGTCCGTGCTCTTGTATCCCGCTTACACCCGGCTTTTAGCCGCACCGACCGACCACAACCACACCGGCTGTAGAGATACTTGGATAACACATATTCTAACCCTCGATCCTTCCTTAAAACCAGGGGAACGATCGCTACCCCTGTAACTGGTTAAACGTACTGACAGGACCTCAACCTCCACTCAACTCCTCAGTGTTCCTGCTGAGATGCACAGCTGAAAGGAGTGGGCACCATAAATCTGGGTCTAACAGGGTGGGAGTTTGTTTCTTTCTGAGAACACAGCAATGATCTATTTTCCTGCACATAAGAGTAGGTGTAAGTTTTCTTAAAAAAAAAAAAAAAAAAAAAAGAAAAATCAACCAGCCAAACCAAAACAAGTCCCCTCAAATCTTTCCAGTTCATTATGAAAGATTGGGGGAGAAAATAATATTTGTGCTACACATTGTCATTGTTTCAGGTGTTCCCATAACTCCATGGCCAGGGGAGCGGACAGTGCATTATCGACCCCTCCTGCGCCCACAAAGGCCACGGCCGCTTATCCCAGCTCTGGCCCCGGGGGACCGATAAAGCCCAGGTACCAGAAGAAATGCAAACGCCTTCCCAAGTCAACAGAGCCCAGGAGCTGGATTCCTCCTGGAGCTTGGCTTGCAACACCAGCCCCTGAGGGCAGGGCCGGGAGAGGCTCTACTTGCTTCGGCACAGCCCTGATAGAGAGATCGGCCGGCTCCTTGGGGGGTGCTGGGCACAGCTGTCAAGGGAGGTTCACTTAACGCTGGCACAAGACTGTAATTTCGGCTGATATACACAAGCCAGCACAAATGCCCAAGCGGCTGAACACTGAGCTGGGGACCAGACTCCCTCCCTAGGTCAGAAACACATACCTGAGTGCCACTGACCCAACCAAACCACTGTAACAGGGGTGTGTTTAAAGCCCATAGCATTTCCAAGATACATTTCAACAGGTGTAGGTCACTCACTGCTCCCCAAAAAAGCTAAGTACCTTCAAATAATGTTAATAACTTCTGGATTTAATAACTATCGCTAAACTATTCTGCCTGCATATGGTCGCTCTCTTTCTGGAGCAAACACACCACTGTACTCACTATCTCTATCATACTTCAGGGCAGCCATTTCCAAATGATCCCATGTGCGGACAAATCCAAGCAGAGAAACTCAGGCTCCACCACGTATAAACTCATCCACAGCAAGTTGTTCCTTGCAATGCGCTGTGTACTATCTGCAGAGCCTGACAGCCTCACAAAAGCCAAGCTTGGAGGTAGTACCTGAAAACCACTGGGATTCAGAATCCCCTAAACTGAGCACACACCTGCCCAGCAAGCAGCGTGCTCCCCCCAAGGCAGCATCCCCACCTGTGGTCCAGCAGAGGAAGCCTCTGACAAACCAGGCAGCTCTGGGTTCTCTGTGCCCTGCAGCCCCCCCCCCCCCTCAGGCACATGGTGACACCCAGGGACTACCCTCTAGGGAGAGGCACTTCATTCCTACTGCCAAAATTAAACCAGGCATGAGATGATCATTCAGCACTGTGCCCAAAGTGACCAGTGTGTGCATTTGCATTGATACACTGTATGTCTTATAGAGGGAAGCTGTTAGTACCCCTGAATAACTGAGGATGTAGGGAAGCAGCTGACCTGTCCCACAGTCTGCTGAAAGTCAAAGAAAACTGTGGGGGTTTTTTTTGGTTTGTTTTTTTTTTTTTTTTTTTTTTTTTTTGTTTTTTTTTTTTTTTTTTTTTTAATTAGAATCCAATTGCATGTTGAATAAGATGTTTATACTGAACCCTAGGACATCCCCCCCCAACTCCCCTCAGATGAACATAGCTGCATCTGTGGACCACAAAACCCTGGAACAGATGGGGAAGGGGTATGAGGTGTTATGGGGATGTTGTAGCTTCCATCAGAAAGAGGTGGCAACTTGGGAAACTTGAAAACTTTGATGACCCTGGGTGCATAGAAGCTCTGCAGCTGCAGTTAGATCCTCCCCTCACCTTCCAGAAATATGCTGTTTATGGGAGACGCAAATTTACTTCAATTCTTTTGTATCACTCAAAACTTTCATACCATTCAACTGATACATAACCACGATCAAAATTAAATCTAAGTGTTTAGGGAAAATAATGTCTTTTCATGTAGGATTCTGTACACCCAGAACTTGGGGATACTATATTGTTTTGGCAAATACATGAAATTTTCTTGTGATTTATATTAAGAACATAGCGGACCTGTTTCTCTAAGTCATAATTCAAAATATTTATTGTTCTGCCTTTTCATGTAAGCCTTACCACCATAAGAAACATGCTTGCTTCAAGAAATTTGCTGATAACTTATGTGCACTTGTAACTCAGTACAATGCCCTGAAATTTAGAGGCAGTGATCAATGCCAGAATGTGAGAATTACTGCTAATGTCATCAGGATAAAAGTGCTCTTTTCATGTAAACTCTACAAGACTTCTAGGGACAAATGGTAGATTTATCTCACTGGTATACAATGGGAATATTTATTTCGGGGCTTTGTGCACACACAAAGTATAAGCCCATGAGAACAGGCAGGACTGCAGCAGCTCTACATGCATGAGGGTATTGCTGGGGGGAAGGTTCAGGCCATTATCTAGGCTGCAGTGTTTCCTGCACCAGTTATTATAAATTCACCCTTCACTAGAAACTGAAGTACTTGTAATTCCCAAGAATGCTACTGGTGTGCCAAATCCTTCAGCATATTCTCTCACCCGTTTTTGTGTGACAGCATAATAAAAAATTGTAACAAATTGGAAAACATAAGAATAATCCTTCTTAAGAGAAAACAATTTTTGTCATAGTTAGGCAAATCTTCAGGTTCCAAACTTTCCTTCTACTAGCCATGTTTGTAAGTAGTCCATGAAAAAAAAAAAAAAAAAAGTATAGTGAGCAAACTATCATAGCATTTATCACGGATTAAGAGCTGATGTACTAGGTCACCAGACCTGGGACCTGCTGGGCTACTAAGTTACTGGCTCCGTCGTAGGTAGATCTCGTTTATCATTCTGAAAAGCCCAGATATTTCAAAGTCTTCCTGACAAAACTGGAGAAGTGGGGATGATAGAGGATGCAGTAAGAACAACCGCAATGCCACCCCACCCCCGCAAGGGAAATACACCCAACACCCCCACAGAGACACACACGTTTAGCTGCACAAATAGGCAGGAGGAGAGTGTCTGGGGCAGCGTGGCAGTCCTCAGAGGTCAGTAAGCTGATTTACTGCAGGGAAGGAGGTTAATCTTGCTGAAGAAGCAAGAGAAGGCGTTTTGCCCAGTTCGGGCCGGGGCCGGGGGGCAGCCGGGGCTGCAGGCAGTCGCAGGGCCCGGGCTGGGCGCCCGGCCCCGGGGAGCCGCTGCCCGCGGCCGGTGGGACAACTGATGACTGTTTGTACCCTCCACTGCTTCCCTTTGGAAATGCTAACTAGGTTATTCAGAGCTTCCTTTGATGTCCTGATAGATGCTATTAGATAGTCAATTAGGCATCAACGAGATCGATTGTTTCGGAATAGATGCTTTTCTGTTTGAAGTACCCGTGAACACTAACAGGTCCATCACCCAGTCGCTCCTTTGCTCACGGGAACAATGCGAGCTAACACACAATAAATAACAAATGCTACTGACTCACTCGGCAGAGCTGCACCCTCTTCCCTCCCAGCTCACACGCTGCAAACCCAGATATTCCTATTCAGTTGCTGTGGGAGCAAACACGCACTTTGCATTAAGAACAATTTATCGGGGAAATCTCATTCAGTTCTTTGCGCAACTAATGGACAAAGCGCCTAGATAAGTTAAGTAAAAGTTAGCTCGAAACAAAATAGCACTTGAATTCCCATGCACGCCATCGCCACATTGCCCGAGGACTTGTGACACCTCCACATTTGTTCAGAATTGCCCAGGCAGAACAACTAAGCGCTAAAATAAGAATTAAAGCACTTAACCTACCTGAATACCAAAGAGATGTCGGGATTAGCTCCCTACTAAATAGTGTTAGAAGATAACACTAGGTCGAGGCCTAGGAGTTTAAAAGACAACTATAAAGGAAAAAGTACACAAGAAACACAACGAGACTAAGAGATCTCTCCTCTTTCTTCCTCCCCCACTTCGGTGGGATTTATCAAGTTAATTGTCATCTAATTGCGTATCAAAGAAAGAGATAATGGGCAGCAATTAGATGTAATGGCCTGCCAGTGCGAGATCTCTCCCGATTAGCACACAACGCCGAATAACTTCACCTGGTTTGTAAAGAGGTCCCTGGAGTGGCTCCACCGTGTCTGGGAGCGGCAGGGGGGGGATATCCCGACCCTATTCCCAGTCCCCTGTTGGCTGCTCACGCCAAACTGGGACAGGCGTTAACGAGCGCGGGCTGCAGACGCTCTCTGCCATTACCGCGGTGCTAATTCAATCACGTTTCTCCCCTCCGCGCACACACTGCGGGGGAGAAAGGCTTTGAAGTTAGTGCTCCGGCAATTTTCCCCTCCCACCCCCTTTTCCTCCCCGGGGAGTCCAGTTTCCAGGTTATACAGCCTCTTCCTCGAGAGCCGCCAGGCCGGGAGCTCCAACAGTTTCACCGCACAAGCATTAAACTGCTCCTCCCCAGCTAATCGGCTTGGCCTTTTTTTTTTTTTTTTTTTTTTTTTTTTTTTAACCCCATTTCTAGCTGACTTGCAGACAACCGCTTTGTCTTGCCGGAGACCATTCCTGTACTGGTGGTTATTGTGATGCGATTGGAGACACAAAGAGGAATGCTGCAAACGAAGGGGGCTCGCAGCAGCCCCGGGGCGCGCAGTGGGTGCGGTGCCGGAGCGGGATCGCTTTGAGAACACCCCGAGTGCGCAGGGGTCCTGCGCCGGCACTAGTGCACCTTTACTGATGCCGGGGGTAAACCACAGCGGATGAGAAATTCAAACAAGGAGTTTCTTTCTCCCCTAGCAAAGGGCAAAGTTGCAGCGATGTTTTAGTAGCAGAATTGGACGGCTTTAGAAAAAATTAAGTGATTTCACACAGAGATTTCTAGACCACTGGAATGTAGTAGTTACTTTCCAGAGAAAGCCGAGTTTTGCAGGTAGAAGAGGAATTATCACGTAGATATTTGGAGGAATCTGCTGCTATCAGGGACTCATCCAAGTGAGTATCACCCCGCTCGCTCATCTGAGCAACTGCCGGGAAACCGGACGATATTTGCAAGCTATCGCTGCCGAAACACTGGCAAGGCACTTCGCGTGCTTGTTGAGTATAGATGCGGCCAAGGAGTCATTATGTTAAGTGATCATTAGCACCTTTTCAAACAGACTTTGGCTTCTCCCTCGCCAGCCGTTCTGCAGCTCGCACGCCCAAAGCCAGGATGCCCTACTAGCCCCCCCGCCCCCCTGGCACCAAACCCGCCTGTTTTAGCAAGACTAGAAGGAGCTGCATACACGCACCCCGCGAGCAAAGCCTTCACCCCCGAGATAGTCCCGTGGCCGGTGCCGCTCGGCCCCGCAGCCCTGCTCGTCCCAGCGTGGTGCCCACACCTCCCGTGGGCTTAAATCGTGGCGAAGACTGCAACACCACGCGCGGTGCCGGCAACCCCGATTGCCTCTGCCTTGCTCTAAACCTCTGCACGGAGGGGGAACTGCTCAGCCCCCGCACAAACCCCGTCCCCACGGAAGCAGTTCTCCTCCGAGGGTGGGAGCACTTTGTTCTCCGTCTCTCCTTCCCGGCCTTTTCATCTCTCCCTCACTTCCCCCGGGCCCAGCTGCAGTGGTGCCCGTCCCCCCTTCCCTTTCACCCTACCCCCATTTGGTCCAGGGCTGGGGCTCTCCAGCAACGCTGCCAGCAGCTCGTGGCCCGTCCGGTCCTCCTGCGGGGTGCTGCCCTCCACCCCGCCCCTCCCCCCCCCGATACTGCTGGCTCTGGCTTTTAACAGCACGAAGGGCTAGTGCCGTTCCTTTTGTACATGCAAAGCATTTGGAGGAGAGGTGGGGTTCTCCTCTGTGGCCACACAAGATTATAAAGGGATCACCTAACTCCTCAACCGCTATCCCCCCGAAAACGGAATAGGCAAATCGAGTTTCACGCTTAAGACCTTTTTTGTTTTATTTTTATTTTAGGTAAATTGTATATTTGTTGGCCTTGACTGCTTTGCTATTTTAAAAATGTCATTGCTCTAAAGCAGAGTAAATATTCAGCATTGCAGAGCTTTCTGGAAACCTCCCAGTTCCCTAATGACATTTGAAGGAGTCAGAGAAAATTGCTTTTTTTTTTTTTTTTTTTTTTTTAACTTTCGAATCAATATAGCCGATTAGTAATACCTGTCTTTGAGAAATAAGCCTCCATTCAATGGAAATTTTAATCTCATGTCAATGAATTTCCTTAATTCCAAACTGCATCATATTCCTGAAGAGATCTCAGCAATATTGATAGCACCTGAGCCCTTATTAGTTTTCTGAAACTCTTGCATTAGAGCTACATTAATTGTACAACTGTGAGCAAATACTAATATCTCAAAAGGCTAGAAGAATACAGCATGGATTACAAAACAATTAAGGAGATTTCCAAATGTGACAGCTACTCAGAAAATCAAAGGCCACAGCCTTCAGCAGCACATAATGTTGCTTTTTACCAGACAAGTGTACTCAAGTGGCAGATTGGCCCCTGTATAGAAAAGAAAATAGGCGTCTTCAAGGATGACTGGCAGAGAACCTTCAGACAATCCATTATATGAGCCCGGATTACAAGTGCGCCGGAAATCTTCTAATAACCCCCGAGATCAACTCTAAAGTGATGGAAATTTTTATTGCTCTTTTCATGTGAGTTGACAATTGACTGAAAGATTTATGGCAATTTACATCAGTCAAGGATCATTTCTCAGAGCCCTTTCTCTAGCCTGAAATCAGGCCATTTTGATCTTGTTTCCTAGAGCATTATTCGAATTTTAAGACTGCATATCACAATGGTAACAAACTTTACTGCCGCTTAGGGAAAACCAGCTTTGGAATGTTACATTTCTTTTGATCATCACCCTCCTACCCCATTAGGTGCATATGAGATGTTGAGACACTATTTTGTTGATAAGAAATTTGAAGGCTAGACCCTTTCCAAGATCTGTTTAGACAAGAGGCCCTTACCAATCTACTGAGGCTGCACACGAAAGCATGAAGATATTTTTACATATTTATTTAGAAAGTAACTTTTAAAATCATATTCTATACGTTATTTAAAGGGCTCCATCAAAAAGCATCTGTTCTGCTACTACAGCAAGCCCAGTGTTAGTAACAGATGAATCCACCTATTTGGGTAAAAGCACAGTCCCATCAGAGAAAGTGCTACCTAGGAAGTAGCTGAAGGGATTGGGTACCTGCTTTAGAGGACAGGGAGAAATTCATGCTTTTTTTGCACTCACCCTTAGCAAATTGCAGGGGGCCAGAACAGATCTAGAGAGCAAGGAGTCTATGCTTCCTTTAATGAAGAGGAGCTCTCTTTTAGGGCAGGATAAACAGTGCTACAATCCTTGTGGAAGGAATTCACGTGAAAGCTGGAAAAAGTTTAGATTTATTAAAAGGTTCCATTTATATTAATGTTTGTCCCATTGTGATTCTATTTTACACAGTTGGCCGTAAATGCAGGGGCCTGAAGTCCATGATTCAGATTGTTCAGTACGTCTCTAAAATATTTTGCTCAGTGCTGCATCATAACTCCACCGGGCAGTTACAGACAAGGGCAGCCCAGATAGCTACCAGTAGTGCAAATCCTGCTTGGTCATGGTCCACATCAGAGGGTCAGAAGCCCAGCAAGAAAGCTCTGGGATCCCTGTACCCCACAAAGCAGGGTGCCGCCCAAAAGCCCCCAGGCTGTGCTCTGCAGGCGCTGCTGAGGTCCGGGGTGGGTGCTGGCAGCGCCGCCGAGGCGAAGCCCCCGGAGGCAGCCCCTTGCCGGGGCAGAGGCGGCGGCCGGGCCGCGTACGTCAGCGGCAGAGGCACGAAGCCGCTGCGAGGTCCGTACGCGAGAGGGGGGCTGCGGAAAGGCTCCGTCCTCAGCTCCTGCAGCTGCCGCTTGAGCTTCATCCGGCGGTTCTGAAACCAGGTCTTGATCTGGGTAGAAGGGAGGGAAGAGGGGAAGAGGTGAGGTGGCAGCGGCACCCGGGCCGTGCCCGCGCCCCGCGGGGCCCCGCCGCGCTCACCTGCAGCTCGGAGAGGCGCATCCTGCCGGCCAGGCGGCGGCGCTCGGCGGCGCCCAGGTAGCGCTGCCGCCGGAAGGAGCTCTCCAGGGTGCTGACCTGCTCGGCGCTGAACGCCGTGCGCAGCCGCCGCCCGCCCCTGCCGCCGGGCTCCTCGGGGACCGACCCCCCGGCGCCCCGCTCCGCCGGGGGCTGCCCCGCTCCCCAAGGCCGCCCGCCTGCTCCTGGGGACAGGGGAGAGGAGAGAAAAGGGTCAGCCAGGCCCGGGAACCTTGGGGGTGCCCGCCCGCCTCCTTCGCCACCGGACAGCCGCTGCACAGTTGCGCCTCATCGGGGCCCGAGGGGGTGGTGTAAGGACAGCCAGCCCTCCTCCTCTTCCTCCTCCCTCCTCCTCCTCCCAGCGCGGGAGCTCCAGGATGCTCCGGCGGCCGTGGAGACCTCGGTTACCTGCAGCGGGGCGGGCCGCCGAGCGCTCCCTGCTCCTGCCGCCTCTCCCGGCCCGCGGCCCGGCGGACTGCTCCTTGCTCCGCTCGTTCAAGCCGGGGCAGGACCCGGGCCGGTGGCCCGCGGAGGACGGTCGGTGCGGGGAGCCCTCGGTGGGGCTCTTGAGGGCCTGGCTGCTCTGGGACAGCCACTCCACAGAGAAAGGGGCCTTAGTCATCCTGTCTTGTTTCGGAGATGCCGGGAAGGAGAGTGTCGGGGAGCACGGCTCCTCCTTTATACCGCAAGTCCCGGAGGAAAACCTTGTTTGTGTAAATACACATCAAAGGGCCAGATAAGTATCATCTAATTGCCATCAGTCCTCCCCTTCCAACAAAAGACACCGTTCACACATTGCCATAGCTCGCGGAGGCTCGGCTCCACCGTGTCTGCCCCTGGAGGACTTCACTCCGCCGTCAGTGATTTACAGCTCTTGTTACATCCTATCCCGATGCAAATGGCATTTTACAGAGCTGAGCGGCTTCAAACAGCGCTGGGGAATGCACCCCCGGGGAAGCGCACAGGGACCAGCATCCCCGGACGGTGGCAAGAGAGGGAACCCTGCTGCTCCCGGTCCCACTTCCCCTAGAGTTGTTTTTTTCATTCCTTTTCAAGCAGAAGATTCACTATCTAAAGGGATCTTCTCAAGCCTGCTCCTCTCTGGGCTGAGCACTTGTGTTTCCGAGACAGCCTGAGGCAGGCAAGTGGATAAACTCATTCATTGCATTCTCCTGGGTCTGCAGCATCAGGTTATAAACACCAGGCACAGGGTGAGGGATTTGGAGAAGGCTGTGAAACAGAAAAAGGTAAAGGTTAAGGATGTTGTGTTGTACCAATATACTGGCTTCTGACTGCTGATATAAAGTATATTTTCTGGACTAAAGAATCAGAAAAATACAATTATTGCCTTATGATTAACATTCTGCTGAAGTTACATAATTCATGTCATATCTTCCAGAATTCATGTCATATCTTCCAGGATTAATGTCCTATCTTCCATCCCAGCTCTCTTGCAGCTGTGCAGCTCACACAGGTGGCTAACTTACACTCTCTGTCTTTCCTCTTATTACCTTAGGAATATCTTTCAGAAGTGTTCCCATCCGTCTTTGGGTTTTGTGTGCACCAGGAACACCTGGCTGCTGCAGGAACGCCTCTGTAGTATATTGACAAAAGGTTCCTGGTTCTTTATGGGCAGCTTTCCACTGCAGAGTAACCATGAATTCCCTCCTCTTACCATCCTCCCCTCCTGTGCAAGAACAGAGTGGCACCATTGACAACTCCTCTCACACCCCTGCTTGGTATCAGTCAGTCTCCAGAGATCATGACTGTACGTTTTGATTTGTCTGTCCTTGTTCCTGCTTTCTGTTTTACACTCATCTCTACCACCTGCACAGAAAACCAATGTTCTACTGTCCATTTATCCTGTAACTCGCTCTGTTATTCTGCCACTTCTGCTGAATTTATTGGCATTCACTTTCTCTGCAATGACAGTTAATATAAGCATGCTTCTATTTCTTAGACTGTCAGTGAGACAGAGGCTTGAAGACTGAGCCCCTCCTACTTAGTTTAGATGGCCAACATCTTTCAATTAATTCATTTTTCATCTTAAGAAGACTTATATTTTTCTGTATATTAATCTAGTAAAAAGTTTTATTCAAACCCTCTTCACTTACCTTTTCCTAAACCCAACATTTCAACATTCTTTGTGCTCAAAATATGGTTGCTCTATCCATCCATTATGAAATCCTATAATTTTTTGCTTACTAGAAAATTGTTTCATTGAACCATGTTCAAGTTTGACTTGTGATCCTCTTCTGAGCATTGTGTCTCCTTGCTTGTTCATTCTTATGGCATAGCCTGAGTCCTTTGCTCTACCAACGACGCCACTGTTCAAGAATTAAATTGTCTCTAAGCGACAAAAATACAAATGTATTGTCACCTTTATTTAAAGGTGGTTAATAACTGATCTAGAACCACATTGAGGCATGACCAGAGCCCTCCTGGAGCCCTTTGTTTCTGGCCTGTGCAGGTAAGGGATTGACATTATATCAGCAACAGCCTGAGCCCACTAAACAAGCTTCCTTGATGAAACTAAGGAAACCGGTGTAAAAATGTCTAAACAAATGTTCAAGAATTAATGTCTCCTGTACATCTTTTACCTACCTAAAGAAGACCACAAACTTCTCTAGCATGGACAAAGCCCTTCAGGATATATGTGGGGTTTTTTGTTGTGTTTTTTTTTTTTTTTTTTTTTTTTTTTTTACTGTATGAAAGTGTTTGATATATAATTACTTGAAACCTCATCCATTTATCCTTCCCAAGCATTTTCTGATTAACAATGGGAAGTTTAGAAAGTTTAATTGACCAAACTGTACAAGATCAGTTTTAATTTTCCTCTATTTTATGAGAAGATGCTCTCCCCTTTCCCTGCCACACCTCTAATGTTCCAAGCACAGGTTCTTAACTATTCTTTTTATTAGCTATCTACTCCCACGGCAAACATAAGGAAATATTTTAAAAAACTAGAACTTCTGAGCATTAGACAATTATGGTAGCAACGTATTTCATAGAGCAGGGCAAGCAGGCAGGAGGTGGAGAGGGGACATACAGGAATATGATCCGTTTAGCCAAGTTACTAAATGACAAATCCCCTGAGTTGGCTGTAATGAACGTGTGACCCGGGAGCACCCTCTCCAGTCAGGACTGGGAATACCAGTGTCATTACCAGCAAGATTCCTTCTCGGTTTAAATCTCTCAGATTACTTTAACAGCATTCTGCATCACAGATGGGGCAAGATCCCATCCCAAGGAGATAAATATATCCCTTGTGCTCAGAATTATTTCCATTCTTAGTCCCCACATAATAGCATAGATACATATAAATATAAGTAATATACTCATATGCTTCTTACATACTTATATATAACATATATACTTATATATCTATATACAAACATTTTTTTTAAAAAGTGTAAACCAGTCTATCTCTATGATGTTACTTTTTCCAGCTTTATTTTATGTCAGCAAATAAAGGCACTTGGCAAGTTGTTGGATAGGACAAAAAGAACACATGACATGACAGTGCTCTAAGAAATAGAAAATCTTATGTTTTAGCATCCACTGATAACATCTGTCACATAGTTTCTTTACAGATTTTGAGACATTTTTACCATCTGAGCTGCAAATTACACTTTTATACACTGCTGGTTTATTAATTGCACAGTATTGAGGCAAATGCCACAGCCAAAAGATAGTGTCAAATGTTGAGCTCTCAGAGACACAAATCATGTTGTGACAACGTTACACCAAATCTCATTTCCATTATACATAAAATGTATAAGTATCCTGGATAGATGGCAGATGACTTCTGGATGTAATGACTGCTACAATATTTAACAGCTGCTAGTTTAATTTTATCTAAAATTCTTAAGCTGCCTTCTTTCTATTTCTATGTATTATTAATTAGTTAGTTGTTTGAAAAACACCTGCTAAATTGTGAATCAGAAATACCATGTTTAAAATCAAGTGATATTGCCAATGGGAGGAAAACCATGAAAACCTGCTCATGCTGAAGTCCTCAGAAATTTTCCAGAGCAGGAACAGGTAGGACCTTCTATTCTGCTGCTACAAGGTGGGAGACAAAGAGATCAGACATACCAACATGACTGCCACTAGCAGAAGTTTGAAGATCCATTTACTGAATATAATGATAATACTTTATGCAGATGCTTGTACAATACACAGTTGCGCTTTTTGGGGAGTCAGCACCTTCCCGATGAAAATAAGGACCGTCAGTTTCCTGAAGACCAAAGGAGACTGAGAATCATAATGTCAAATGCTGGCTCAGGCCAGGCTAGGCTATTCTGTGGGAAGTGATGTAGAAGGGAATATTTTAGCATCCAAGGGAATTAAGATGAGTTGAGATTTGTCACTTGATGCTGACTCCTATATTTCTTGTAAGCAGCAGCTGCACTCAAAGAGGCCAGGGAGTAGCTTCATAGATATCTGGCTGAGACAGGTAGGATGGGATCAGTAGTGCTTATATGCAAAGCAGCTCTGCAGAAATGTATACACACAACATTGGTCTCAGGCTGAGAATGTTCTACAGAACTAACTAGTCCTGCTTGGTTGCCTACTAGGCAGTTGATAACAGATCTCTTCTAGGGTAACAGTCCAGCCTTTGAGAATTAATTGCTGCTCCACATCATCCAGCCCAAAGGTCAGGCCTGCCCTAGTAAGCCAGCTCAGAGCCCTGCAGAGGGGCAGGACTGTGCTCGGAGACATCCCCTTCCTACTGAAGCTTTGAAGAAACTGAAGAGAGAGTAGCTGAGGGCTGCCAAGTACCTTGGTTTCCCCGCAGGTATTGGAGAAAACTGCCACCACTTGGCCTCACTGCAGTTGAGGGTACACAAGACAAAAGGAGCAGACTGTCATTTTATAATAACTGGTGACTCTTTCTTGTCAGAGGGTCCTTTCTCACAGAGGGTCCTGTGAGACTAGAGTGAACGTGTGGTCCTTGGGAATATCTAGGTGGTGATGCAATTCAAAGAGTAGAACAGGCAGATTATGACACACAGGAGGATGCGTGTTCATCTGTGGACATGCAGACCTCCTGTGAGGGTCTGCCCAGTGAAGCAAAGGCTGCTGGCATCTGCTATAGAATTTATATGATCTTTGCCCTGGCATGTTTATCCAACCATTGTAATTTCTGAGAAATCACTCTTTAGGACTTAAAAGCATTACAAATGGCCAATCTCTGTATTATCAGTTATTATAATCTATCCTCTTTGACAGAATAAGAGCTACTTTTCCATGAGGAATGAAAAGACCGTATGTGCAGAAATATTGGGAGGGCCTGGAATAAACAGAGTGACAATGCATAGATGAAAATTAAATGTCTCATCATGCTTGGAATTGATCTAAATCAACACAGCACTCAAAATGCCAAGAGCTCCCCTGGCTCTTTACCATAAGGCTGTAACCTGCAGCTAAGCAGAATTGGGGAAATGTTTTAAAAAGATATGTGTTCTGCAGAGAGATGCTGTAAATATTAAGAAAGAAAACACATGTATTATGTTTTTATTATTAAAAAAAGAAGTCAAAGTTGTTATGAATCAGGACCACATTTAAAAGTTGTACTGCTGTTGTTACAGAAGAAAGGTTCACCAGCAGATCTTTTTCTTTTTTAAAAAATTATTTAAAAATTTTTATTAGACAAACTATTATGGTTGGAAAATCAGCCAAGTTTCAGGCATGTAAATCCTTCTTCAGCACTCATTGCTGTCATACTGTCATTGAGAGATGTTTGTGGGCACTGCTCAAACAAAACTGCTCAGAAGTCTGTAGTTGGTTTAATTCTGTTCTAGATTAGTAATTAGACTTTAAAAAATATTAGTTGAAAAGAAGCAGCATGAAAAGGGGTTTTGGAAATGGTTTTATTTTCCAAAGTAGATAGGGATTAATTGTTAGGTGCATAACTGTACTTTAGGACCTGGGTTGTGTTAAAAATATGAATTATCTACAGATATGAGATGCACTTACAGACGATAATGTGCATCTGCAAATTCACATAAATCCCACAGGGTTTAGTAATTGTTCAAATCACTGGGACTAACAATCTGATCAAGACCACAGACCATCAATTTAAGACACCCTGAAATCTTTTCAAAACCTAACAGGGGCTTACCTCACATTTTAGATCAAGGTCTTTTTCTTTGTCAGTCTTTGCTGAAGGATAACTTTTTTTCTATGATGGTTACTTCTAAGGTTATATTTAACAGTCTATTAAATATAAAAGTAAGAATGCATTAAATCAGAAATGGTCCATTATTTTTACTTTTTGTTTCCTACAGATACCTTCTAAAGAAATGTATCTATAAAGCATTTATCATTCTTGAAAGTAACTTTTCACTTTCAGCTATTAAAGAATGAATCATTTTTTCCCTTGATTTTAGAGTTAGCATTTGAGCATGATGAGTCAGCAGGAGAATGAGCTATCACAGTTGGCAACTCTGAGTCATCTATCACCCTCTGTGCCCATTCTGTTCTATGCCACACAATGCTGCTTTGACATGCATTGGTCCCAGCAGTGAAAATGTTTTACTGACTCTTCCTTCCCTTAACTTGTACTTAATATAAATCAGATCTGCGCACTGCTCCAAAGCCAGTCTCTTCAAATTATGTGGAAATAAATGTTACCTTTTTTTTTTATTGACTTCAAGGCTCTCCTCCATTTCATGTTTCTAGTTATTTCTTCTCCTCTTCTGTACTCCTCACTATACACTGTTTCTTCCCTATTTTCTTTCTTCCAGTCACTTACATCAAGTATCCTGGAAATATTATTATTAGCTGAGGAAGAAAATACAATTGACAGGATGCAGAACTGTAGCGACAGAGCACAAATTAAAGTCTGTCTACCTTCACTGCATCCCGAAATGGAGCACAGATGTGTTCTGACATCCCCTCTCAGTTTACTGACAAGGGAAAGCTGGGCTATAGTGGGTAAGAACAGGAGTGTAGTTAGGTAAAAATGCTTAACACTGCCCCTGTAATGTGTAATTCAATGTCTATGATTCCTCAGTGTACTTCCTTTGACAGGTTTTACACAAATGAGTGCATTACACATCGATAGAAGATAATTAAGATTTAAAATTATGAAGCTGTGTGGGTGTGTGTTTCTTTAAAAGATTAAA